TCTAAAAGCTCTCACACTGCTCCTTTCCGTGTAAGTTTTTGCTTCCCAATCAATTTATAAATTTCTAAATTTATAAGTCAATTTATAAGGAATATGAAAGTTTTATACTTCTGTGTATGTGTCAATGCTCTATGTATTACATGAACATGGAGAAACGGCTATCCGACTAGCTCATATTTATAGATACACATGTAATTTTTAAACAACTGAATGCAAATTCTGTTTACATTAGATACTATCAACATTTTACCAATTTAGAAAAACGTCATTTTTTTACTATTAGATAATTTGCAGTTACTCAGTGATTTGGATATATGTATGAGGAAAAAGCACTCCGTAAAGGTAATTTAGAATGTAAATCATACTTATTAACATCTATGTTCTTATACGTTATACAACAAAAATTAAGAGTACTGGTTATAATAAAATAACACTAAATGCTGTAAAATTCATATATAGTCTGACATTTTGGGGTGAACTAGTGTCTCAACAACTTTATACCTACTTTACACATGGAATTATGTGAGTCACTTAATGTATGTTTCTTTTTAACCCTTACTATTAACTATTAGTTTCATTTGAAAAATGACGAAAATGTGGCTCAGAGAGGTTGTATTACTTGCCCAGGGTCACACAGCTGATAAGACAGAAGCCCTTGTCTAGTTAACAGAATTAATTTAGTACAAACAAGTATCTCCATTTCTCCCAATGTTATATAATTCTTTGAAATGCATTGAGAATTACAGAAAATATTACTATCAATGGATTAAGTCCATTACCAAAATAATGGACTTAATTAAAAATCTAACAATATATGCTGACAATCTTTCAGCAGCACAACAATTTATTAAAATTCAGTTAGCTCTTTCCCAAGACAAATTTGAATGGCCAAATAGCTGAATTCTACTCACTCTAACTGATAAATAATACGCTGTCTAAAAGGGAAAAAACCATCAGATCACTTCCTCCTGTTAGAACCATTTAATCCCTGAATTATCTAGGGCCATGTGATCATTAAAATAAACATAAGATACCCTATAAATAAGATGACTATGCATTTCTTCCAAACTGGGACACTTTTGAGACTGAAAGGAGCCAGGAGAAAAGGCATAAATTAGGACTACCGTAGCTAAAGTGGGATGTGGATCAGCCCACCTACAAGGTGGGCTTACAGCAAAAGTATTCACTGCTTTCAACTCCAAGACACCCTTAATAGCAAACAGAAAATCCTGTTAAACCCCAAGGACTCTGTTTAATTCTTATTGTTTTGATGAGCCTTTCTGTAAAACAACACAAGCAGAAGTTAACAGAAATCGATCAGGGGACATCTTTTTCTATCACTCACTTTTGTGAGCCAGTGTGACACTCAAAATCACCCACGACTGTCAAACCACTTTCATCTCACCCTTCGGATAATTTGCTGTTTTTGTAGAAGTTGAAGCAAGGACAGAAATTACAATAGCAATCAAACTTAAGGTCAGCTACTAATTCTCAATGTCATTTCTAAAAAAATGGCATGTGAATATAAGGAAAAAAGGTAAGGTTTCAATCATCTTTTAAATATTTCTCCTTTTTTTCTAATAATTTTTTATAATGCCTAATCCTACAGTGTTGATTAGATATGTCAAGTATGTAATTTAAAAACACAGCATGGTCTTCATTACCTTAAAAAAAGATTTTTCTTCTATTATCAGATTTTACTAGTATACTAACAAATCTACAAGATTATTATTTAGAGTGTAAGGAAAATATAGACATATTGACATGGTCTAGGAATCATTAAGATTCTGAAAATCCATTTAAATCAATTTGTCGAGGAAATCTTTGTCTGTGTCATTTTAAAAGATATTTTAAATTAAGAAGTTAGCCAGCTGCTCAAGCAGGGCCTCAAAAGGTAGCAGTTCTAGTATGGGGACAGCACAGTTCAGTCTGTTTTAGCTGTGAGGGTCCTGAAACCCAACATTATCAGTGTGTCAAGTATACTAGACCTGATTTAAGAATTAAGACACAAAAATCAAACTGACAGATTTTCTTATTCCACCATACAGTGTTGGATATATACTGACAAAACCTTACTCTGGCTTCTCACAATCTATGCAGACAACTTCTCTTCTGGTAATATGTTATTTGTAAAGACTATGAAGCAAATGATTAGGCAACAGCAGCTATATTCTAATTCAATCCTGCATCCTAGTCACTGTAATTCAACTATGATCTTTCACAAATCTAAGCAACAGATTTCAAAATTATCTCTAAGTTTGGTGTAATTTTGCATATGGCCAATTTTACGCATGATGAGATAGTTTTTACTATTTTCACCCTCCAAGTGTGACTAACTCCAAGTACTTGAGGGAACTTTATTGAAGGCTCCATAGCAGCGCTGCCCCCTAGCACAACTCCAGGGAGCATCATCCACATAGAAACGTGAGCACTGTCGTACAGCCAGCCTTGGCAATACACACTCATTTTACATACAAAGCTGGGAATAAAACTTTATATCTTGAAATTTATTCTGAGAATTAAATAAGAATTATATAATGTGGCTAGCACTCAGTGGCATACAACAGAAAACTTCATAAATGGAAGTTCCCGTATGTAATAATCTTTGTCTAAGGGGGAGACAAACATTTATATTGTGATAAATGCTATAATAGAGGCACTCATATCCTTACTTTTGGCTTTCATTTATTATCCAAGTTAGAAATCTGTTCCTTTTTCTCCCACATCAGAACAATGTGTATAACGCAAAGCAAAAGTCACTTTCTATTTATCTCTAAAAACATTTATTCCATAAAACATTTTATATACTTGCACTATTTCTCTTATAATTTTATTGCTAATGGCCCTCAAGAAATCATATAATTATACTCAATAGTACTTATCACAGTTAGAATTAAGTATTATGGTGATCATCTACCTAAATTCTGACACTTTCACTGGAAGTAAGTTCTATGAGGAATCATTAGTCTTGCCTAGGTATTTCCACTGCCTTACATTATAGGCATTCAATAAATAACAAGTGGAAAGAAATGAATGATTCAAAAATCTCATATTTGCATTCTCAAGGCGTCAACTAATTTTCATTACTGGAGTTCTCCCAAACACATCACATCCACTTAGAAAACTGCCGCAAATTCACTACATCAATATAACAGAAATAAAACTAGAACATTTCCTCTTCCCTTCCCAAACCCTCCCTACATCCTTAACTAACCTCTAAACACGAAGATCGTAACATTTAAACATCTGAAAATAAGTCAAAATGATTTTTCTCTATTCTATCACCTCATATGCAAAGAATGACTAGGTCCATGACATCACTGCCTCAAGACAAATCTTCATAACTTCAGCTGAATTGCTACTAGTGCATCTCAATTCATTACTTGTCTTCTCTGTCTCCTCTCCATTGTTATGCTAAATTTTGTTAAAAAGGTTCCATCCATCCCAAATCTTATTCAGGAATGGCGCTTTATCAAATAAAGCCTAATCTCATGAATAAACAATAACCAGTCCTCAATATCACCATAATAGTACATTTAAAATTATATGTAATGTTACCACACCAGGTCCATTTTTGCCCGCCGCCCAGAAAGCCAAACACTGAGACGACGAGATTGCAGCAGAGAGAGGATTTAATCACAAGGCAGCCAAGTGTGGAAACGGGAGAATGAATCTCAAATCCACTTCCCCGAAAATAGGGACTCAGGGGTATTTATGGGAAGGGGGCGAGGTGGTCTGAAATGATTGGAGGTGAGGAGAGATGAGGTAATTGATGATCTGCGCAAGCACAGTTAGGCTTCATGCCTCTTCGTGGGAGGCATGTTCACAGAATGGCAGCATTAGCACGTCCTGAGGGTGGAGTTCCAACCTCTTGCCGTCACAAGGTCCCTTACAGGTAGCTTATCGGACACATGTCTGCGTGGGCCCAGCTGATGGGTTGATGGTCTCAATCTGGCCTGACATGACCAAGGGGTTCAGTTCCTGGAAAGAATAGCTCAAACACCCATTACCATGGTGACCCTGGCTCCAGGGGGATGTTACCTATAGGAACCTGGTGGGAGTCCGATAGCATATGGCCTAAACAGCACAGTTAACAATGGGTAAATTTACCATGCAGATTTAAGTCTTCACCTTCCGTTCTGATAAGTTTCTAGGTAAGGCCATCCCCCTCTTCTTCCTGGTACAGGGAAGAAGGTACCTTCAGAAATGGAGATTTTCTTTACAAATGTAAATGTATTTTACAAAGAACAACCAGAACTATGAATGGGCTTAGCACAGACCCACCCACACAACCCGAGAGGTCTAAGGCGATGGCCTGTTCCGGGGGCAGGCCTCCCATCCCAAACTCCTTTGGTTAGTTAGTGGGGGTGGGGGCCAATTCCAATCCCCCAGTTACTAGCTGCTTAATCATCAATGGCTAACTGCTTGCTGGTTTCAGTAACATCCATTTCTAGCTAAAATGGAGTAGCTTTTTACAGATTAACACTTTCACTGAGAACAACTAGAGTAGCCTGATGAAAGGGAAAAGAAAAAAGAGCTTGAAGGCATCAAAGAATTGCTAAGGCAACCAGAACTTGAAGGACCAAGGTCCTGAAGAAGGGGGAGCAGAGGCAAGGTAAAAAAAAAAAAAAAAACCACAGCAGCATTTCTGGCAATCTCTTGAAGATAAAGAAAAATAATAGACTTAAAGGGCCAGAATCTGGCGGAAAGGTAAGGTCCAAGACTTGGGCCTAATATTCTGACAATTTTCCATCAAAGCTTTTGATAAATCCTTAAACTGCAAGGGATATGAGGATTAAAAAGCCAAGTAGAAAACCAATGAAAAACAAAGGAGAATATTTAGAAATCTCATAATACTGAGGAGAAATTAACTAGAATTGAGAACCCACCAGTGGAAAAGAGTCCCAGTAAATATCCCCAAGCTCTGAGTGGGAGCCCTTGGAGGGCTGCCTCAAAAGCAAAGCACAGCAAATAAGAAGTCCCAAAAACAGACCCCAGGCTCTAAGTGAGAGGTAAACTGGCCTTGTAAAGAGACAAAGATTAGATTTTAGGATCTATCAAGGAAGAAATCCCAATGAACACACCTGCCTCTTGCTTGAAAGCTCTGGAGGGTTATAGCTTGGGAGAAGGAAGGGAGCAATAAGAGAGCTTGAGCCCCACAAAAACTAAAACCCACCCTGAACCAGTCCAGTCTCTATCAGGATTATAGCACCGGCTCCCACTCCATTATCCTAGCAAAGGAAATAGTAAACCCTTTATAGAAGAAAATAATAATATCTGGAGCTACTGAACTTTTTCATACACAATTTCCAACATGAGACAAAAGATTATCAGGCGAAGCACAGCAGCTTGAATGGCTAAGGACAACTACTGGAGAACAGCCAGCAAGAGACAGTGAGAAAAGGTACATTAACTCAAATGCCTCTAAATTAGGCCAGTTTCCTCATTTCTCCCCTTGCATCAGTTTTTTTTTTAAAGCAAGAGTGCTCAGCCATCTTATTGAGCAGAGACGAGGAGATTTAAGGTTTTACTTTTTTTATTATAGAGTATTCAATTTTGTATTGATTCAATTATGAAAATAAAGAAAAATTCCTTACTCTTTTTACTGTTAAAAAAGTACCAGGACTTGATATTTACCCAACAGAGTTGAAAAATTTTGTCCACACAAAAACCTGTACACAGATGTTTATAGCAAGCTTATTCATAATTGCCAAAATTTGGAAGCAACCAAGATGTCCTTCAGTAGATGAATCGATAAATAAACTGGTACAGCCAGACAACAGATTTATTATTCAGTGCTAAAAACAAATGAGCTAATAAGCCATGAAAAGACTGAAAGGAAATTTAAATACATATTACTAAGTAATAGAAGCCAATCTGAAAAGGCGACATAATGTATGATTTCAATTATATGACATTCTGGAGAAGTCAAAACTATGGAGACAGTAAAAAGATCAGTAGTTGGCAGGGGTTAAGAGAGAGGGAGGGATGAATAGGTAGAACATCAAGGATTTCTGTGGCAGTAAAACTACTCTATATGATACTATAATGGCAAACACATGTCATTATACATTTGTCCAAACCCATAAAATGTACATCACCAAGAATAAACCCCAATGTAAACTATGGTTTGTGGGTGATAACAATGTGTCAATGCAGGTTCATTCACTGTACCAAATGCACCACTCTGGTGGGGGATACTGACAATGGGGGAGCCTATGCATATGTGGGGGCAGCAAGTATATGGGAAATCGCTACCTTCCTCTCAATTTTGCTGTGAACCTAAAACTACTGTAAAAAAATAAAGTCTATTAAAAAAAATAAAATACTAGGAATGCCAAGATCCAGGACTGTATGACAGAAAACCACAAGAAAAAAAGTAAAATAAAGTAAAAACAGACTCAAGGTGATCCAGATTATGGGAATTAGCAGAAAAATATTTTAAAATAACTATGAAAGAAAATAGAGAAAAAGATGGAGAACTTCAGCAGAGCATTAAAATCTAGTGTAGTTACACTAATAGCTAACAAAGTAGACATTAAGGCAAGAGATAGTATTAGAGACGAAAAGAAACATTTAATAATAATAAAAGGGAAAATCCACAAGGAAGATGCAGCAATCATAAATTTGTATGCACTCTAAAATTAAAAATAGCCATAGATCCAACAATTCCACTTCTAGGTATATATCTGAAGGAAACAAAATCACAATGTCAAAGAGATATCTGTACCCCCGTGTTCACTGCAGCATTATTTATGATAGCCAAGACATCGAAACAACCTAAATGTCTACTGACAGATGAATGGATAAAGAAAATGTATACATATGTATATGTATACATGTATAATACGTATACACAATGGAATGTTACTCAGCCGTAAAAAAGGACATCCTGCCATTTGTGACAACATGGATGGACCTTGAGGGCATTATGCTAAGTGAAATAAGTCAGACAGAGAAAGATCAATACTGTATAAACTAACTTACATATGGAATCTAAAAAAAAAAAAATTTAACTCATAGATACCGAGAACAGATTGGTAGTTGCCAGAGGCAGGGGATGGGAGATGGAAGGAATGGGTGAAGGTAGTCAAAAGGTACAAACTTCCAGTTATAAAATAAATAAGTAATGGGGATGTAATGTACAACAGGGCAACTACAGTTAATAATATTGTATTATATACTTGAAAGTTGCTAAGAAAGTAAATGTTAAAAGTTCTCATCACGAGAAAAAAAAATGTATAACTATGTACGGTGATGTATGTTAACCAGACTTATTGTGGTGATCATTTCATAATATATACATACAACAAATCATTACGTTGTATATCTGAATCTAATATAAAGTTATATGTCATCTATATCTCAATAAGAAAAAATATTAAAGGGAATTCTTTAGTCAGGAGGAAAATGATTCTAGATAGAAGGATAGAAATGCAGAAAGGAATAAAGAACACTGGGAGAAATAACTCTGTGTGTGTGTGTGTGTGTGTGTGTGTAAAAATACTGACTTTAAAAACAACAATAATAAAGTTTGTCATTTTTAAATACAGAATTATAATGTGTGAGAACAATAACACAACAGGTGAAGGGGGAGAAAATGCATTAAGGAGTTTTAGATCCTTGCATTATAAGGAAATTGGTAAAAGAAACAATGTATATTATGCTATATGTGTGTTGTAGTCTCTAAAGTTACCTCTAAAAGAATAGTAAAAGAATGTGTAACTAATAAGTTAATATAAAGACAAATATTATAAAATTATTAATTAATTCAAATGAAGGCAGATGAAGACAAAAAACAGAACAGGTGAGACACAGAAAACATATAGCAAGATAGGTCAATATAAAACTAAAAAAACTGGGTGATGTCAGTGAAAATGGCAGTCAAAAGTTCCTAAAATTCTCCCCTCCATAACAGCAACAAGAAAATTGACCTCAAAAAATGTCAGAAAAAAAGAAAGCAAATAGTGAGGTGATGCATGTGTTAATTAACTTGATTGGAGAGATCCATTCATAACGTAAATGTATATCAAATCATCACATTGTACACTTTAAATATATTACAATTTTATTTGTCAATTATACCTCAATAAAACTAAAAAAAGAAAGAATAAATAATAAAATGTTATATGTTCAGTGAAAATATGGTAACATCTTACTGTGTACACAAAAATGTTATTTTTTCCAAATTATATTTAGTATTTTACCTTCTACGTCAATTTTTTTATGATGATATCCCTTTAATTCATAGCCGCAATAAGGATCAGATACTCTACAAGCACACACTTTGACTAAAAACAGGTATAACATATATAGCTAAAACTGCAAATATATTCAGTTGAAATGTGTAAAAAAAAAAGCATCTCTACAACATATTTTAAAATAGACATACTTATCCCAACCAAGAGTTCCTATCTCTTCAATAAGGCTTGAGTAGAACTGGGGAGGAGGAGATGGCGCATACTGCTCTTGTTTATTCTTTAAAGCAACTTCCTGTTGAAAAGAAAAAAACTTGAATCAGCTATGGAATGCTGGACAATGAACTGTTAGTACCTAACCACAAAACACAATTTTGTAACCTTCTTTGTGCCTAACTAAAGTGTCCATTATTTTGATAGAAAATCTAGCTGAATCATTCCCCTTCTCATAAAAAAAGAGACATGAAAAAGTTAAAGGACAGTGCTGAAGTTCATGTAAAAATGCCAATTATTCTATCATTCAAACTTAAGACTTTAACATTCTCCTAGACTACTAGGACTATCAGAGATGAAAAAAGTTTAAAAAAAAAAACAACTCATCCTCAAGGCTTCACTATTTTTCTACTCCTGTGGACATAATATTTGTTAGAAAGAAACATGTACCTTTAAAGAAAAGCCTGAACTCCAAGTACATTGCCTAGACTGAGATATTTGTATACACACCATTATGAATTATATCCTTACAAACAAAAACTCTTCATTATCACAGTAACTACTTACTTGCTAATTCCTTTCACTGAGTTACATTCTGTATTACTCCCAGACCAGGTAAGTGTTTTCCCATCTATCTGGCTAGATCACAGTTCCTTTCCCTGGTAGGCCCATCTATGATATCTTTAAGATGGTTTATGCTCCCCTAAACAAAACTAAAATTCATATTTTTTACAAGCAATACAAACATCACTAGAATTGCTGAGGCTAAAAATTATCAATTACTTCAAAGCTGTTAACCCAGACAAATATCTTACTTGGAAAGTAAAAATAAATCTACAAATAACATAGATGTTCATATGGTCTGGATTATCAAAAGATATTATAAAAAGTAAAGAAATAAAATTAAGAAAAAGAAATCAGATACAATAAATAAGAAAATCAGATGGAATCAAGTATAAAAATTATAAATGCTTCTGGTAAATATAACCCTAATAAAAAGTATAAGTTTTTATTCCTTTATGTATATGTTTATTAATCCTTACACTTGTTTCTTTTAACAAGAATAGGATACTATTAAATTGAGGTAATACTAGAAAGAATAGATTTTACAAAACAGCATTTCAAAATCAGGACTATAAAGTGAAATCACTTTAATACAGTTCTAAATCTGCTTTAGGATTAAAAAAATTATAATAATAATAACTGTGAAAGCAGAGTGTAAAGCCCAGAATGTCAATTTGGATTTAATCAGAAGGTAAGCTCCTAGACGATAAGGAGTATACTGCTTTCTTCACAAACTGAATACCTAATATTATCTGTAAATAGTCTGATGGTCCACAAAAGTAAATTTGTACTATTAAGATTATCCTCTGTCACTAAAAACATAAGTCAGTATAGTTCCTGTACTTATACATATAACAGCTACATGGTATTTCTTTTGAAATTTCTATTTTTATTCAGAAATATTAATTACTGTTATCCACATACATTGAAGGTAAAAAATAAACTTGGATAATAATAAAAATGTATTTTAATCCTAGGTTTATGACATTTGTAAACTCTGCCTTCTACCTTGGGTCAGACAAGTTATTCCTATTCTAGAACCTTAACAGAAAAAAGGGCAGAGGCAGAGAAGCAAAGCATTCTTCATGGAGGAGGCAGAGGTACATAGTAGAAAGAATACAGGCTTCACAGACAGAGGTTTCAGATCCTAACTTTAGCATTTCCTGGTTTTGAGGCCTTAGGCGCTCAGTGACTCAGCTCTGAAATAGGAATAAAATAACCCGCCTCATAGGGTTCTTTTAAAACATAGGTAATTGTTCATTTATTAAATATATACTGAATTCCTACTATATAAACTCTTAGTTATTACTAGGAAACTCTGTGGGAGATGTACAAAATTTCCCGAATAAGTTCAATAACTATTGATTTCATTTGGGCATCATTCTCAATACTTTTATCAGCGATTATATTACAGAAACTCTATTAGTGACAATACAACAAATAAAGGAAAAATTCTTACATTTTTAGGTACATCGTGATAAATGTGCAATAATATCACCAACTCTGTCCATAATTTCTTTAGAAAGCTAAAAATAGGATTTCATTTTATTCAAAAATGCAATAACAAATATACTATTGTGAATCAGAGATCAATCTCAATATTTTACTTTAGTTTTAAACTAATGAGTGTTTCTTCAAAATTAAATGACCAAGAGAGCTGTGCTTACAACTTAATAAAGTTAGTGTCAGTAATAAGAGCTTAATGGGACATAGTCCTTCTATTTGTATAGCTTATTAAAATTATGATAAAAAGATAAAAGCAACTTTTCAAACTTTTTTTCCAATATCAAAGGAATGTAAACCAAAATACGCTTCACTTCTTCACCTTACCTATTTTAAGGTTATTATATTTTGGACTTTGACAAAATTTATAATCAATTTGATAATCCTTATTATTTAAGGTTTATAAATTTATAAGCCAAAATTTAAACTTTAGAAATTGACTTTAAATTCTTTACTCTGATCCCAAATAATTTCAGAGAGCTGTTATGAGGATTAAAAAAAGGACTCAGAACAAATCTAGCAACTAAGCTCTTAATATGTGGTAGCTGCTGCTACGAATAAAAAGGTCTTAAAAGAACCACAAAGAAATATCAAACTGCTTTCAGTTTTTAGTAGCAATATTGGTACTGTGATTTTGTAAAACAAATATAAATAATATATATAGAGAGAGGAAAAGTATAAATAAAACATAATAAAAAACATATTATGTTAATATTAGAAACCAAGATTTTCAGAGTAAGAGAAAAAAGACAAAAGCATAAAATCAAAGTAAAAAACCCTAAAATGCCAAATCTGAATTGGAAATATCTATATAAACTCTTGATTAATTATTCTTTTTCTAAAAAGTATTTTTTCCTAGCTTTGTCCACTGAAAAGACCCAGAAGGACTAGCAACGAGCACTCCAGTTTTCAGATTGTGGCATCCAAATACCATTTCCTACAAAGAAACCACAGCTCTTTGAAGAAATAACTGATTCAGTTCTGGGATAGGACGGGTCAATGGGCCCAAGGCAACTGGTGTCAGAAAGCAAACTTGGGTTGCGTTAAAGGAACTCAGGAGCAAACATGAAAGGGCTTACACTGACCAAAAATGGGACAATTTAAGTATCAAAAAGAATAATGATTACAATGGATTAAAGTTAATCAAATATATAAAACCCCATGAGTTCATAATGATACCAAAAAAAAAAAGTAGTTCCCATTGACAGCTGCTAAGCACCAACTCATTATCCTAAAAACTGTTTTTTTTTTTTTAAAAAGGGGGGAAAAAAGCACATATCCTATCTCTCCAGTATAACCTATACCTCAAAATAACCAAATAACTAACGAGGGCAAGTTCTTCTCTATAGATTTTTCAGCTAATAAATATAGATGATGGAATTTTAAAAATCACCATTTGTAATCTAATGAAATAGTAGATATAGGCGATGACCATCACTAGATGCTAAAATCATTAGGTGAAAGGCTGATGAAAAACTTTCTACTGGATGGATCTAAACCTATTGCTCAATCTTAACTTTACTAAAAGAGGAATTATCAGACATCATGTGCCTCCTGATGCAATATAAGGACAGAGCACAAAGTATTCTTACCAGAACAAATGAACCCAAATCTGTTGAGACCTCTAGATCTAACTGCCAGATTACAAAGAAGGTAGAAGAATATGCTAAAAAATACCATGAGTATCTAATAAACCAAACCCAGAATGCAGGAAATTTTATAGGTCACATAATCTGATTTATTCAACAAGTAGATGGCATAAAAAAAAAAAGGTGGGAGCAAGAAGAGGTGCTACCATAAAAGACTTAAGAGACATATCAACTAAATATAATGTGAGGACCTTGTCTGAACACTGAAACAAACAAAGCAGCTATATGGAATTATCATTAACTTTGCTGAGGTTAAAAGAGTATATTTAAAAACAGACAAAAAACACTGAGTTGTTAGAGATACACACTGACATATTTATAGAGGAATGGATATGATGTCCAGGATTTCCTTTAAAATACTCCAGTCCCTTTCTCCTAAAAGAGTAGGGGAAGAAATATGTTCCGCAAAATGAAGTTAAGTCAGGGGCCCATGGGTATTCACTATAGTCTTCCCTCTTTTTTGTTTATGTTGAAACCTGCACAATAAAAAGTTTTTTAAAAAATAATACAATGTGTATAGAACTAAATAATCAAGTATTTCATAAATAATTAACTGAATAATCAACCACCATATCTAACTGTATGCATGTAATAAAGCCTAACGTTTTTCAGAAATCTGCAGCTGCAATATAATTTGCAATAGAAATCTGCAACACAATTTGCAATACAAAATTACTTATACGTTGTATTACATCTTCAAATGAGATTATCTAATCTCTCCTTAGATGTTAAATTCTCTGACAGACCAAGAGTACATTTTATTTCTTTACCACCTGCCCAAGACTGGTGTCAAGTGTAGCCAGTTCAAGAAAAGTACCATCCAAGTATGCACACAGCAAAATAAAATATTAAATTAACTGGGAGTTGCAAAGTTTTAAATTCTAATCATCTTAGTTTTTAAAGGAATGACAGAAACAATCAAGACTTACAAACAAGTTAACAGTGTCAGAAAACAAATTCTTACCAAGACCATCTTCAGCTCCATCATAAAGCTCAGTAGATCAGGAGAGTGCTGCATTCTCTAGATCAAAACAACATTTCCAATTAATTTCATTTGTACAATGAATATTCCTTGGACTGAAATTGAAATAAAATACAGGTCCAGGTAAATGTGAAAAAAAATATTAGCTATATCTACATCTGAAAAGTATAAGAATTAAAGTATTGATCCATCATCCCTACTATCTCTATCAATTTCATTTTGAAAGAGTAATTAAAGCCCTCAAATCTATTTTCGTGAGATATACTGAATTGTGTAAGAATGTCACTTAAAACCTCACACACTCCTCTGTTCCTTTAACACTGTGTACCGCAAAGTTTAGCAAATCTAGCAAACCACAGCCTTATTTAAAAAAAAAGAAAGTGGTATGGGAGTACAAAGAGGAGCATAAAATATAAAAGTCAGATAAATCTATAAAATTTTAAAAATCTAGTTAGAGTAATGAATTAACAATTATTATTCAATACTGTCTAGTTTTATTTTTTTCTTAACCTTAAAGATTACCTATCATTGTTATTTTTGTCCTTTCACAATTAACCCATATTAATTCAAAAGGAGTCAATCTTTCAATAAAGTAAAACCTGTTATAATGAAATGGCAAAAAGGAAGTAAGCTCTACAGTAGAATGAATATTTAAGAATTATGGTTCCATTTCCTAGAAATCCTTCATTTTTAAAATAAAATAACTATAGAATAAAAGAAAACAAAGAAAATTCTCAAGTTTAAAATTATTTTCTTAGATAAAACTCTAGATCGTTTTTCTGCTTGAAATCAAAATATTGTATGTGTGTTACTTTTTGTCATGTGCTACACTATCACCACACAGTTCTGAACCAAGTCAATATGTAAACCTGTCCACTCTTTAGATGAGAAAAATTATAATAATAAAGACATTTCAACAATGGATATTATTCACATCTTAACATAGCTTTGAGTGGGCACATGTCTGTAGAACAAATCTCTGACTTTCCCTTCTTCTATACATTTTCCCTGCTTAGTTTACTAGAAATAAGTAATAAATTAAATCAAGGGTCTGCAAACTACAGCCCAGAGGCTAAATCCAGCCCAATACCTGTTTCTGTAAATAAAGTTGTACTGAAACACAGCCAACCCCATTCATTTACCTCTTGTCATGGCTGCTTTGGCACTACAAGGGCAGAACTGAGTAGCTGCAACAGAGATCTTACGGCCCACAAAATTCAAAAAACTTACTATCAGAACTTTCGCAGAGAAAGACTGCTTGGGCCCCTTGACCTTAATATTTACTTAAGTTTAAAATGATATAAGGAAAGAATAGTAATATCCACCTGGACTTTGGAATAAAACAAAGACTCGGTGCCGGCCCCGTGGCATAGCGATTAAGTGCGAGTGCTCCGCGGATCCCGGCGCGCACCAACACACTGCTTGTCAGGCCATGCTGTGGCGGCATCCCATATAAAGTGGTGGAAGATGGGCACGGATGTTAGCCCAGGGCCAGTGTTCCTCAGCAAAAAGAGGAGGATTGGCATAGATGTTAGCTCAGGCTGATCTTCCTCACAAAAAAAAAAAAAAAAAAAAAAAGACTCGATCTAATACAGGGCTCTACATAACCAATTGAAGGGGAGGTAGGAGATTAATAAGTAATGGAGACTTTTTCTAGGAATGCTTTTGGTGAATTGGTGGAGAGTAACCAAGTCATAGACATTATTATTATACTTAGTCTTTTCTTTTTTTTTTTTTTTGTGAGGAAGATCAGCCCTGAGCTAACATCCGTGCTAATCCTCCTCTTGTTGCTGAGGAAGACCGGCTCTGAGCTAACATCTATTGCCAATCCTCCACCTTTTTTTCCCCCAAAGGCCCAGTAGATAGTTGTATGTCATAGTTGCACATCCTTCTAGTTGCTGTATGTGGGACGCGGCCTCAGCATGGCCGGAGAAGCAGTGCGTCGGTGCGCACCCAGGATCCAAACCCCGGGCGCCAGCAGCAGAGCACGCACACTTAACAGGTAAGCCACAAGGCCGGCCCTATACTTAGTCTTTATACAAGTTTTTTTCAGGATATTTAAATATCTCAAGAGATTCATTTCTTAATCTTCAGTATACAATATAAATAGTCACAGTGGATGGGGAGGGAGCAGTGGAGAGAAAACAGAGAGAAATAATTTAAACAACCCCTTAAAAAAACTGCTGTAATTACACTGTCAGCAATGACAACCTACCTTCTACAAATCAAAGTTTATCTCCTACATCTCTTTGTGGTTCAGTAATGCTTTATGTGAGAGTGACTGTCACTGTCAGTTATCATAGATAATAACCTGCCTTTAAGATAGAGAAAATACAGGAAATCGAGAAAAACATACAAATGAATAAAGCGTCAAAAGAAATGCAGTTCCACTTATATTTATTTTTCTAAAAGAGGCATTTCATTATTTTCGGTTGCTTCAGTAACAGTGATTTTTTTTAACTTTCTCTAATCTTTACGAAATTTTCAGGTAGAGGAACCTAAACGTTAAGAACAACTAAACGGGAGGGGTGGGCGAAATGGATGAAGGTGGTCAAAAGTAAAAACTTCCAGACAGAAAAAAAAAAATAAACTAATCTGCCTATATCTCACCTATGCTGCCTTTACATCAACTCTCAGTATGTACATAGACATGATCCTACATGATTCCCACCACACCTTTTCTGTTGCTAATCTAGAACCATGATCCCTTTTTTGCCACAGATATCCTACAACTCCTAAATAGGTCCTGGGATTTTTTTGTAGCACCACTATTCAGGCTCAGCAGAAAAAAAATCACTCAGAAAGTGATGGATGTGGGTAAGGGTGAATGCGTTTGAAGTCCCAAAAGTCTCAAGGATGGAAATCAGCTGCAACACAAATGCTGCCTGGAGATGTGCTAAGGATTCTAAGACTGAAAACATTTTATATAACGTATGGATCATTAAAATATTTGATACAGATGTAACCTACAAAATGCAGCAACTATTAAACCACTTTGTTACAACATTCTGCAAAGTAGATCTTTAAAAAAAGAGTAAATTTAGTAATTTCTTACCCTCGCTTAAAACATAAACCTTTTAAAGGACTTACCTGTTGTATTATTTGATGGTATCCATTAAGTACTGTTCTCAGCTGCCAACTACATAGTAATCTAAAATTGTAATAGAACAAAATGGTTTGCTCATTGTTGAGAATTGAAAGAAAAAACTTATTTGTATGCTAACACAAACATGCATGTACATAAAAAAGAATGACATAAACATAATTCTGACAAGTTAATAAAATTTTTACCACTGATACTGTTGAAAGTCTCGTCTTCAAACTGTCGGTACTCATTTTATTTCAAAATATAAATAACTGCAATCAGTAAATGACATGCAAACAGTACATCTTTTTTTAACTTTAACATATCCAAAGCAAAGTCTTCTATTGAACTAGATTCTTCTCCAAGGTAGATTAAAAAAAACCAATAGTTTTGATCATAATATACAGAACTTGTATTTGAGAAAGCATATGTAGCAATATAATCTTCAAATTCTAGATTAATGTAACTAAAAGGATATATACTTTTAACTGTGTAAGTAGTGATAAGTTAATGTCCATCCATCTACTGGCTCACCTCAGCTGTGCTCTCAATATTGCTAGATAAGTAACTCTTCCAAGCATTGCTTTTACTTACCTAGAAGGAGAAAGCCTCTCTCCCGACCAGGGTCTTTTCAAACCATCATGACTCCCTCCATTCTTGGTCTCTCACCCCTATCTTCTCTCTTAGCGGCAGAGCAGCTCATTCAACTGCCCATGGAAACTCCTCTCTAACTGTACTCTCCATCCCTTGCCACTGACCTCATCACATCTATTCATTAATTATCCTGTTACTGTGGTACCCTTATTTTCTGCTAGTATTTCCTCCTTAATATATTAACTTGCTCAAGCAAATCTCACCTGAAAAAAAAAAACTCTTCCTTGACCTCAAACCCTTTCTAGTCACTCCTTTTCTTCAAAGTAGTTTATACTGTTTACATTTCCTTTCTACCCACTCACCCACTCCAAAACCCAACACAACCTGGCTTCTGCCACTACATGAAACCTATTCATATCTAACCTGATCTCTTCAAAACACTCAGCACCTTAACCATTCCCTCCTTAAGCCTCTCCTTATTAGGCTTCAGAGACAACTGAAGATTTTCCTCTTACTTCTCTAGTCACTCGTCTTCTTCCAAGTTCCTCTTTATTTACCAGTCTTTTAAATGTTGGTATGCCCTCAAGGTTCTGTCACTGGCTTTCCTTCTTCACCCCACACACGCAGGTACTGGAAAGTCTATCCATACTCATAGCCCTAAATCCCATGCCTACTGTGACTTCCATATCCATCTCCATTCCAAGTCTCACACTCGAGTTCCACATCAATACACTACTACCCACTAAATATCTCCTCCTGATACTTCACACACAATATGTCTTAAAACAATTTCTCTTCTACTTCACCATCCACGACCTCTCCTCTATTTTAATTATCTGAGCCAGGAACTTGGAAGGCATCCTCTGCTCCTCTTTCCCTCTTATCTCTCATTTCTAATCAGTAACAAAATCCTGTCAATTCTACTCATAAATGTCTCTGGATTCTTCCTCCACTCTACCCCTAGCGATATTTAGGAGCAGAAATAAGATTTTGGGTGCCACCTAAATTTCCAGTCTGTCTCTTGACATTCCTTGATAGGCTCTGTATAAATAGTCCATGTTGATACCTAATTTATACCAGGACTTAACTGATAATATGGGTTTTCCCAGAGACTGAATATGCACATAATTAACATCAGTCAAAAGCTGAAAACAAAGTCTTCTAATTCTTTTGTATTCTCCCTTTATACTTCAGTTCAGTACTTGTTAGTGAAGTTTACACAACTGCTGTTCACTGTTCTTTAAATGAAAAAAAATTAGAGAATTAATGTGTTACCTTTGAAAAGCACTTCAGCAGCAAGAAAAATCAATTACAAATGCACAGTGATTTAGAAAATCAGAAATGTTTCTGGTTGACTAATAAGCATTTTAGGTAAAACTCTAATAACTAGAATCAGTTTATACCAAATTAACTACCTGCCCATCCCACCAAGATGCATGTCTATAACAACACACTACATCACCTTGCATTCTTCAATTGTAAATCTTCAGGCAACAATATTCTAAGGTGGAAATCCCTTCCCTGCAGGAAATATTGAAAAGGTTCACTCAAATTTTCATCTTTCACTTAATGTTAAGAGAAGTTAAGCACAGAATCACATAGAAAAGGCAATGTTTTCCTTTAGTTCCTAAAAGGTATCAACTTTATCCAAATCTTGATACTTGTTAAAATATAGGCAACAGAATATTGCATTGGTGGGAAAATAACTCAAAAATGTCTATCAGAAACTTTGTAATTATTGGGAAATCAAAAGACTAAGATAGGACTTTGTTTTTAAAGAGAAAGTCACTCACAGAAACATAAGAAATACTAAGAAATTGTTAATGTAGACATAAAGAAGAAATTTAAATGCTATTTCTTAGGAAATAAATTCATGAAAAAGGAAATTCTTTCAAATTACTTTGAATATGGAAGAAAAAAGTGTAAAATAAGAATATATAATACACTACAGGCTTCATATTTTCAATTTTCTAAATTAGAATAAAATGAAAATATATTTAGTTAGACATCAGAGAAATATTTTCATAAATCAGAGTATATCTAATTCTCCCATACTCACTGACCTTTAATAAATAAAATCGCTAACATACAAAGTTATTTTAAATATGCACTACCTATACATTTGAATATACCAAATTTTACTCAAAAGTCTTTCTAAGGAAAGAAGGACTGTTCTGAGAAATATATTCAGTTTTACTTTCTTGAGAAAGTGAATGGGTAAGCCACTTAAACTTTATACCTTAAATAGGATAATACACGTGAAATCTGAGTAAAGGTAAGCATAAAAAGACAAACAGAAATATAATCTTTTACTCCAACAGTATAAAATAAAAAAGAGTAATAAAATTCTCGAAAAACAATTACCATGAGAATTTGAGCACAGTCTCCCTCAAAGCAGTTTCAAAAATAGAGGAACACAATTAAATGTACCCCATAACCTTTACTTTCACAATAATATTACAGTTCTGACTTTCATTACATTTAAATGTCCTTTAAAAAAATGAAACAAAATGTACTACTGACCTTTTCAAAAGGTCAAGTAACAATAATTCACTATTTCATTAAAGCACTAAAAGGTATTATGTAGTAACTTCAACCTAACTTTATAGACATCCCACACATAGGTGTAAGAACAATCTGGAATTCAAAATTTACATGAAAATAGTAAAACTACTCTACTGATCTGCTCTCTGAAAGAATAAAATTCCACAGTCCCTTATTTGCAAAATCCAGCCATTTTAAAAGGTCAAATGCCATGTCACATGTCATAATACTTTTCTGACTCAAGAAAATGTCCCAAATTAGCTTTTTTTATTAAAGCATATAAAAAATGTTAATTGCTCTCAAAAAGCAGATTTTCCAGACTTACAGGGAACAAAAGTACTGACAGTTGCCTAAATCTGAATCTTGCCATACATCCTCCCAAAAAACTATATAGATCAATATTAAGAAGAAATAAAACCACAAAAATCCCACATTTCCAGCAAAAATCAGAAGTCAGAGAGCACTATAAGTTTCAAATTACCTATAGGAAGAAAAATATAAACCATTTTCCAGTGGCTTCCACTCTAGGGCTGCCACAGCAAGTTCTTTTAGAGAGGTAGGGGGTTCAGGAAAAAATGCAAGGAAAAGAAAAGAGGGGACTGGACTAAGAGCAAAAATAATAAAGAGATCTGGTTAGTCATAGCACTGACTACAAGGAGGGGATTTAATATGAACACAAAAGTCAAGGAGCTCATCTTGGAAAAGAAATGTAAGAGTAGACGATAGTAAAAAGGCAGGTAGAGAGATCCTTCAGAAACTGGGTGTCAGAAGGAAAAAAGAAGTAAGAGGGGGAAACTTAGGATCTTATATAAAAAAATAAAAACACTCAAGTCCTCCCTCAGCACTAACAAAAAAACATCCATTAAATAAACTATACTTTGCTTCACCAATAGAAGAGAGTATTCTTGAACTAGGGATTTTACAAACTATTGCAAACAGCTGAACTGTTCACAAACACGGATATTGTCTTCATCAATGCCAAGCTACTATGAGACAAAATCAGAATAAGAGAATCAAAACATTTCAGGTGATGACAATTCCCCATGCAAACAAAAACCACAAGGCATAAACAAATTACAATACTGAATTATATATATTATTAAAAATTGCACTCAGATTCAGAAATTTAAAAAGAACAGAAATTATAAAAAAAATTAAGAAAAAGACAACATAATATTAAAATGGGAGAATAAATTAATAGGTGCTCAAGAGACAACAGAGTACAATAAAAATTTCATAAGAGGCAAAGAAAAAGCAAGAACATTACCAAATGAGAAAAAAAATTAAAGACCATCAGAGAAAAGCAGCTGAAGTGGAAAACAAGCAAAGAAAATCCAATATACAAAGAACTGGAGACCTTGAAAAGGAAATCAAAATAGTAGAAAAGAATATTTAAAATTATAATCCAAGTATATTTTCTGGAAATTCACATACTGAAAAGGACAACTGGACACATGAGAAAAGTTACTCATAACAACCCACTCTGAGATATATCTTAATATACAGACTTTAAAAATAAGAAAAAAGTCCATAGCTTCTAAGAAAAAGATCAAATAACTTACATGGGAAACAGAATAAGACTGGCATCAGACTTCTCAAAGAAAGAATTTTTTTTAAAAAAGCAACAATGGAATAGAACATTTAAGAAACAGAAAGGGAACAACTTCTAGCCATGATGGAATAACAGGGACAGGATTTACCTCTCCACATTAACTAAAAAATTGGACAAATATATGAAATAATGATTTTCAGACATCAAACAATAGGCAGTGCAGGACACTGACCCTTGAAAAAAGGGAAACAAATGAAAAAAAATCTCTGTAATTGTCCAGGCTTACTGCCTGGAGAATTTTCAGGCTGCAAGGCAAGGATGGAGAACCACAGAGGGCCCAACATTCTCCAGATCTGAGAGAAGACAGGGGTGAGTCAGGGGAGGCCAAGGCAAGTAGAATTCACAAGGTACAGTACCAAAGAGGAGAGAAATACATGGAGAAGAAAGACACACAGAGAGTAAACCTAGAGAACTTCAGAGGATTCCTCAAAAGGAGTCGTCAGCTGAGTAGCGACTGCTGCATGGATGTGAGAAAACCACCCAAAGCTGGGGAACCATGAGAATGGAGCATGCAAAACAATACTGGAGCTCATACAAAGCTGAGAGTAGTCATGTTCTGACCAGCCAGAGTGGAAAAGCTCGTACTGTAAGAGCCATCAAATCGAGTACTCAGAATAGTATTGCCTTAATAGCAAGGCCAAATTAGTCTAGGCTAATGTCTATTCTGTTTCTGCCTAACAAAGATTAAAAGCAAACCTTGAAATGATCAAACTGTTTCCAAGTAATTTAACTGCAGCTTAGAACAAATCTCAAGAATATTTAAGAAAATAAAAAATATTTAGCCGCAACAGGTAGAATGCACAATGTCTGGCATCCAATCAAAATATATCAGGTATGCAGAGAAGTAGGAAAACAATCTTTCATAATAAAGAGAAAAATAAAAAGAAACAAATACAAAAATGGCAGATGACAGAACTACTTAAAAAAATTTTAAAGGTTATAACTATATTTCATATGTTCAAGAAGGTAGAGGAAAGCATGAGCATGCTAAATGGACACAGGAGAGATATAAAGAAAGACTCAAATCAAAGAGATGAAAAATAAAATGTCTGAGAAGAAAAAAACGCTAGATGGTATTAACAGCGGATTACACCTTGCAAAAGAAGATATTAGTGTACCTGAAACACAGAAATAGAACATCCAAAATAAAACAGAGAAAGAAACTGAAAAAAAAAAAAAAGAACAGACTATCAATGAATTATGGAACAACTTAAAGTGGTCCAATATGCATGTATTTGGAGTCCCCAACAAAGGGGAGAGAGAGACAAAATAATTTTTAAAGAAATAATAGCTGAAGTTTTTCCCAAATTAAATGAAAATACATACTCACAGATCCAAAAAGCTCCACAAACTCTAAAGAGGAAAAACATGAAGAAAACTACATCAAGGTACATCATAATCAAATTAACAAAACCAATGATAAAAAGAAAAATCTTAAAAGCAGCCAAAGAAAAACAACACACTACTTACAAAGGAACAAAGATAAGAAAAAGTAGAGATTTCTCATAGGAAATAATGCAAGACAGTGAAGCAGCATTTTTAAAATACTAAAGAAGAGAAAAGTCAATCTAGAATTTTATACCCAGTGAAACTATCTTTCAAAAGATCAAATAAACAATTTTTCAGACATAAAAGAGCTGAAAAAATTCATCAGTAGCAGACAAGCACTACAAGAAATGTTAAAAGAAGAACGTCACGAAGAAAGTAGATGAAATGAGATAGAAATCTGGATATACAACAAAGAGTACCAGAAACAGTAAATCTAGAGGTAAATATAAAAGACCTTTTTCCTTATTTTTTAAAATCTCTTTAAAGGATAATTGTGCCAAAGTCAGAACAATCTGAGCAACAAATAAAGTAGTATTGGATTATAACCCAAATATAAAATAAATATCCATGAAAATATACTGACATAAATGATGGAATTAAGAAATGGGGGAGTTAAACCAATCTCCCATGTAGAAAAAATCCAGATAAATTATACAGATATTCCACCTTAAAGGAGGAGGAACATAACTACCCAATACTTAATGGGGGCTGCTCTTAGTGACTTCCTTCCAAGAAGTATGGCATGGAAAGGGAGAAAAAGAGCAAGTTTATAGTAGAAAAACAAACACTACTTAAGCCAAGTGATCAAGGTCAACATCAACAATCAGATATCATATTGATAGTATGTATCTTTGATATGATGTGATGAAATGGTAAACTTGGTGATGTTCCTCTCAAAAACCCATAACACTAGTCTAATCATGAGAAAAACATCAAATTCCAGTAGAGTAGTACCCTACAATATACTTGACTAGTGGTCCTCAATAAAGAGGGTCATTTCATAATCATAAAGGAGTCAAGGTCATCAAAAACAAAGAAAAGAGTCTAAGAAACCATCATAGCCAAAGGAAGCCAAAAGAGACATGATAATGTGGTATCCTGGATGAGATCCTGGAACAGAAAAAAGTTATTAGGTAAAAACTAAGGAAATTTGAATAAAGTATGGACTTGAATTAATAATATGTACAAATATTGGTTCATTAATTGCAACAAATGTACCATACTAATATAAGATGTTAATAACAGGACAACTGTTTGTATAGGGAAGGGGATGGTATATGGGAATTCTCTGCACCATCTGCTCAATTTTTCTGTAACTCTAAAACTGTCCTTAAAAAATAGAAGTCTAGGGGCCGGCCCAGTGGCATAGTGGTTAAGTTCCCACACTCCATTTCAGCAGCCCGGGGTTCACTGGTTCGGATCCCGGGCACAGACCTACACTTTGCTCATCAAGCCGTGCTGCAGTGGCATCCCACATACCAAACAGAGGAAGACTGGCACAGATGTTAGCTCAGCGACAATCTTCCTCAAACAAAGAGAGGAAGATTGGCAACAGGTGTTAGCTCAGGGCCAATCTTCCTCACAAAAAGTCTATTAATTTAAAAAAATATAATTGTTTAAAAAAAGTCAATAACAGTGTATGGAGAGGATTATAAGATAAATAGAAATAAAATATATGACAACATTAGCACAACAGCCAGGAGATGAGAAATAGAAGTATATTGTTTTAAGATTCTTATACTGTAAGGGAAGTGGTATAACAGAAAGCAGATTATAAGTTAAAGATGTATATTGTAAACCCTAGAGCAAACATTAAAAAAAGAAAAAATAATATAGCTGATAAACCAATAGTGCATATAAAATGGAATTCTAATATTACTTACCATGACAGGTTTAAGATATATACTATAAACCCTAAAGCAACTACTTAGGGGGAGGAAAAAAAAAACAAAAACAGCTGATAAGCTGACAGAGGAGATAAAATACAATTATGAAAAAGAATTCAATTAATATAAAATGCAGAAAAATAGGGAAAAGATAAAAAAATAAAAGAACACATGGAATAATTAGAAAATAAATAGCAACATATTAGGTTTAAACCCAACCAAATCAATAATCACATTAAACATAAATGGTCTAAACACCCCCCATAAAAAGCATTAAACATAAAGGCACAAAAAGTCATAAAATAAAGAATGGAAAAAGATAAACCATGTCAACACTAATCAAAAGAGAGCGAGAGTCACTATATTAATAGCAAAAAATACAGATTCCAGGGCAAAAATTATTACCAGGAATAAAAAGGGTCATTTCCTAATCATAAAGGAGTCAGTTCATCAAGAGAGCTTAACAATCCTAAAAGTTTATGTACCTAATTAAAGAACTTCAACATATATGAAACAAAAAGTGACAGAAATTAAAGCAGAAATTGAAAAATCAACAATTATAGTTGGAGATTTCTTTTTTTTTTTTAAAGATTTTATTTATTTATTTTTCCCCCCAAAGCCCCAGTAGCTAGTTGTATGTCATAGCTGCACATCCTTCCAGTTGCTGTATGTGGGACGCGGCCTCAGCATGGCCGGACAAGCGGTACGTTGGTGCACGCCCGGGATCCGAACCCGGGCCGCCAGCAGCGGAGCACGCACACTTAACCGCTAAGCCACGGGGCCGGCCCCAATATAGTTGGAGATTTCAGTAGCCTCTTTCATTAATAGAAGAAGTATACAGAAAATCAGTAAGGACATAGAAAACTTGAATAGTATTATGAACCAATTTGACACAACTGACATTATAAAACACTCCACCCAAAAGCAGCAGAATACACATTCTTTTCGAGTATACACAGAACACTTACCAAGATAGACCAGACTGTAGGCCATAAAATAAGTTTCAATAAATTTAAAAGAATTCAAATCATATAGATTATGTTCTGTGACTAAATTATAAATCAATATCAAAAAGATATCTGGAAAATCCTCAAATACTTAGAAAGATGTATCATTCTTCTAAATAACCCATGGGTCAAAGAAGAAATTAACAAATATTCTGAACTGAAAAAAAAAGGAAAATACAACTTACCAAAACTTGTCTGATACAGCTAAAGCAATGTTTGAAGGGAAATTTATAGCACTAAACGTCTATTATACAGCAGAAGAAAGGTCTCATTATCAATGACCTAATTTTCTACTGAAAAACCTAGGAAACTTAAGATCAGAAGTCAATGAAACAGAAAAACAAGAGAAAAATATCAATGAAATCAAAAGTAGGTTCTCAGAAGAGATCAATAAAATTTACAAGCTTCTATCCAGATGCATCAAGAAAAAAAAGAAAGAAGACACAAAATACCAATAACAGGAATGAGGACTGGAAGTATCTATAAAATACGTCCACAATTTCTTTGATACTTCCATCTTTAAAAGTTGGTCCCTCATCTCTCTCCTTTTGAACATGGACTGGACTTGAGACTTGCTTCTAACAAACAGAATAAAGCAGAAGTAAATAAGTGTAACTTCAGAGGCGAGGGCGAAAAAGGCACTGTGCAGCTTTCTGCTTGATCTCTCTGCTGTATCACTCACCTAGGGGAAGCTAGCTGCCATGTTGTGATGATAGTCAGCAACACTATGTAGGTCTATGTGGTGAGGAACTGAGGCCTCCTACCAAGAGCAGTAAAAAACTGAGGCCTCCAGCCAACAGCTGTGTGAATGAATGATCTTGGAAGTAAATCTTCCAGCCCTAGTCAAGCCTCTAGATAACTGACATCCTGGCCAACATCTTCATTGCAAGTTCATGAGAAACACTGATCCAGAACCACCCAGCTAAGTTACTTCCGAATTCATGATCCACAGAAAAGGTGAGATAATAAGTTTTTGTTGTTTTAAAGCCATTAAGATCTGGAATAACTAGTTATGCAGCAAAGGATAACCAATACAGAGCGCATCATTACGGATCCCAGACATTAAAAGGATAATGAGGGAATATTATAAATAACTTTTAAGCCAATAAATTCAAAAACCTAGATGAAATGAACCAACTCCTTGAAAGAAACAAGCTATCAAAACTCACTCAAGAGGAAAGGAATAACCTAATAGAGAAAACCCCTTCTTTTAATCACATACAGATCACTCACACACACACACACACACACACACACACACACAAAAAGAATGAATAAGTTCCACAGAGTAGAATTTTCACAAACAACACTGTCTAATCACAATGCAATAAAACTAGAAAATAACAAAATTAAAAATCAAAATAGACCTTCCATGAGAAAATTTTTTAAACCTTCTATTAAATAACTCCTGGGTGCAGGGGGACTACAAATTAAAATTATATAAGTTCTAAAAAATGATGATAAAAGACTACATGTCAGCATCTACAAGATACTTTTAAAATAGTGATGAGAAGAAAATGCAAAGCCTTAAAAACTTGTATCAATAAAAATGTGCTCTCACTGGCCAAATCTGGGACAATTTAAGCATCAAAATAAATAAGGGAAGTAATGATTATAACACACTAAGTAAACTATTTTTAAAATCATGAGTCCATTCTGATATAAATAAATAAATGAGAAAAGGAAAACTACTCCTTATCATAGAATGCCAATTAATAAATATAGAAGAAATGATTAGAGTTAGAAATGAGCTAGAAAATCATCATTTGGCAACCATCACAGTATTAACTGACTCAAACAACAGATGCTACAACTAGGGTGTGTGTGTGTACAAGACTTATTACAAAAGGAAAATCTGGCAGATGCCACCTTAAACAGGTGATCAGAGGTAACACCACCAATAATGAGATCTGCTGACGCCATGTGCCCTGATAAGGACACAACCTTCTTTCTGTCTCTAGCAATCTCTGCCAAAATTGCATAATATGAATTTAATAATGAGGAAACATCCGTCAAACCCAAACTGAGGGACATTCTACCTAATAACCAACCTGAACTCTTAAAAAATTTCAAGTTCATGAAAAACAAAGACTAAAGAACTATTCCAGATTAAAGATACAACTACATGTAACTGTGAGATCTTACATCAGACGGTAGGGGGCTGGGAAGGGGTATAAAATATTTAATTGCAACATTAACAAAATTTGAATTTGGACTCCAAATTGGATAATGGTATTATATCATGATTAAATTCCCTGCTCTTGATAAACGTACAGAGGTTATGTATGACTGTGTCCTTGTTCTCACGAAACATACGCTGAAGTATTTAGGAATAAAGAGGCCACTATGTCTGCAACTTAAATCTCAAACTGTTCAGGAAAATAATGTGTGCATACACCCACCCACATAAACACACAGAATCATAAATCAAATGGCATAAATGTAAAATGGTGAATCTGGGTAAAGGGTTTACTGAATTCTTCATACATTCTTGCTAGTTTTCTGTAAGCCTGAAATTATATACAAGACAAACATTTTTAGACAAAATCAGCTCCACCAAAAAAAACAATGTTAAATTGTTTAGGTTAAGATTTCAATAAACTGCTTAAGGTAGGTACAAACTAGAATTGTAGCTACAGCAAAGGTCATAAAAAAATTTAATCTAATCTCAATTCTGATGGCTACAGTTTTCTATGAGGCTTTAGCAGATACAGACACACAAAATACAAAATGTAATTTTGTAATGTCTCTTCAATTTTTTTAAATGTGGTCTGAAAGTAAATCATGTTTTCAACTAGGTAATTTAAGATTAGTACTTCCAATTAAGAAGGAAAAGGTGGATTAACTTTATTCCAGAAGTAATAATGAATTTTAACCTCTACTTTCTGTGATGGTCACAATGAATTTGAAGACAAATGAAGAAGTCCCAACGTACCGTCTATAACCGTTCCCTAATCACAGTGTATTCTGATTAGTTCTACACCTAATATTCTTAGAGGTGGGTAAAAATTTCATTTACCAAGAGATTTGATAATTCACTCAATATTTTTGAGATTATTTTGTTTTGAGGAGCCTTAAAACATAGAGTAATTCCTAGGATATGTCCCCTATCTTCAAAAAATACGTGTTGGTGGGGAGTGAGTGAAACAGGCAAAGGGAGACAAAAGGTACAAACTTCCAGTTATGATATAAGTCATGGGGATGTAACATACAGCACGGCAACTATAGTTAATAATACTGTATTGCATGTTTGAAAGTTGCTAAGAGAGTAGATCTTAAAAGTAGATTAAAAGTAGATCTTAAAATTTTTCATCAAATTTTATTTCAAAAAAATAATTCTGTAACTATGTGTTGGTGATGGATGATAACGAGACTTACTGTGGTGATCATTTCACAACATATATAAATATCAAATCATTATGTTGTACGCCTTCAATTAATATGTTGTATGTCAATTATACCACAAAAAAGAGGCATGAAATATGCTTCTCTTTAAAGTTAAATTAAGTATTAAGTTTGCAAATACACAATATTCAAATGTTTTTAAAGGTGAAACCACTGCCTTAATCACTATAATTTAAGAGTTAAATTTTACCTCCATTCCCCTCTTTCAACACTGACAATGTCTGTTTTAACCAGGATTGCTGAATGGAGTGTTAATCAAGGTAAGGCAGAGCAATGCAATTATTCATTTTCCTTTCAGAAAATAAAAATAATAAAATTCTGAGAACAGAAAATTTTTATTGATTACCATGGTATTTTTCAAATTATCTGGTTAATTACTAAATTTTAAATTTATCATGACAAAACTGCATAATTTTTTGTTTCTGTGTGATAGTTCAAATAACTGAAAATTTGCATGTCTATAAGAGAGTCACACATACTTTCCCAGAAAATACAGTTCTACGTCAAATTGTTTAAAAAATGACACTCTTTCTTTCCTCCTCAGAAGTTTCCCTTACTTCAGGTAGCAAATCAAAGCCTCAGATTAGTTGGTCATGTGTTACATTTTATAGATAGAAGGTATTGCTAACAATTTGACCTATTCTTGACCTATATTGCAAGTTCCCGGTGGTTAATGTGTGTGTGGTTTCACCAGTCTGTCCTGGGGCAGAACTTGATAAATAATGTTAAAAGACAAAAAGAAAAAAAAAAGTATGTGTGCTGGTGCGGGAGAGGGCACGATACAGAGTGTTATAGGGAACAGAAACCTATATTCAAAATTCTAACCTAAGGTTTCTTGGCGCAATGTAGAGGGGAAAAATCCAGGAGTGGAATCAGCCTGACTTTAAGAGATTGTTTCGATCATGGACAAGTAACAACCTCTCCACCTTCCCATGCCTTGATTTACTCAACTATAAACGTGAAAAATGATTTTTTTAAATTTGTGCCTCAAAGGGCTGAGGATTTAGCGAGATCGTGTACTTAGAAAGCTGTTTGTAAACTTCAAAACCGTACACGTGTGTTACCACGTGTAATGAACTCCACAAGGGAGGCCACTTGGAATCAGCAAAGGTAATTAATTCTGTTGTCAAGATTTCCCACAAAATATCGCTACTCGATGTGCTCAGGAACATACGACTTAGCAGAGAGCCCAGTTCTCCTCCAAAATGTTTTTTCTACAGGAAACACGAATATAATTAGCACGGACTCCCCTGTGAACGCCCACCAACCTTCGTGGGGATGCGGGGTGTTAGCATCGAGATAGGCAAAAACTTGCAAAAAAAAAAAAAAAGGACAGTTAAATGTGCGGCAGATGCTGAATTTGGAGGGAGGCACAACGCAGTCAGGGGGAGGGGGCGTGGCCCTCCGCCCCGCCCCCTGCTCACTCCGCGCGCGCGAGTTCCCTCCCGCCCGGTCCAGGGCTGCGACCCTGGCCCAGGGGTGGAGCCGGTGGCGAGGGACGGGTTTCCAGCAACGGCAGCAGCTCTCAAACCTCTAGTCTCCGAGGGGCCGTGACGCGCCGCCCCTCTCAATCCCCACAAGTCCGGGCCCCTCACCCCTCGGGTCACAGACTTCCCGGGTCGGAGCTGCGCCGCGAGAGGGAGCCTCTCCTAGCGAGAGAGCAACAACTGGGTGGGTACCTGAGCCGAAATGAATCCTTCATACACGGTTTTCGCCCGGTTCTGGGGCAGAAACAGCGGGAACTGGCGCAACAGGCTCGCTTCCGTCTCCGCCATGGCTACCGGTCGGTGGAGCCGCAAGCGGGCTATCGGCGGGCCGGGCTCGCACATGCGCAATCCCGCCTGCGCCTGGGACGCGGGAGACTGCAACCCGCGCATTGGCGGGAAAAAGCCTCGAGGATTCCGCGCGCGGCAATGAAGGTCTAGGGCCAGTCGGGCCACGCGGGATCAGGCCCAGCCAAACTAAATGCGGCTCGCGGGAGGCATCCTTGGCCCCAACAGGAGGTGGGCGGGAAGATAGTTCTCACGTTCACAGATTTGACTAAACAAGATCATTCTAGCCTTGATTGTCCCAAGAATTGGGTTTTTTTTGTTTTTTGTTTTTTTGTGAGGAAGATCAGCCCTGAGCTAACATTGATGCCAATCCTCCTCCTTTTGCTGAGTAAGATTGGCACTGGGCTAACATCCATGCCCAACTTCCTCTACTTTATATGGGACTCCCCCACAGCATGGCTTGACAAAGGGTGCCTCTGTGAGCACCCAGCATCTGAACCTGCGACCGGGAGCTGCAGCGGAGCACACGCAGTTAAACACTGTGCCCTGGGACCAGCCCTCCCAAGAATTGTTTTGATGATTTTGTTTGATTTTGTTGAAAGGACTGCTATAATTTTGCAGTTGCATTTCTTCCAGCATAAGATGGTTTTTACAGTCTGGGTGTTAGAGTACTTCTTTTACCCTGAACCTGCCTCACCTCGCCTTCATTGCTGTAATCAATTTCCTGTTGGCCTACTCTATAGGGTCTCTTGTATGCCCTCAGCAAACAGAATAATGTATTGTTCTGTGTGTAATAATATTATTATATAAGTGTTATAATCCATTCAATATATTATATACAATATAATACAGTTCTATGGCTTATCAGATATTATTGTATTTGAGAGACATATATATATATCTATCTCCAGACTCAAGTCAGCACCAGACCCAGTTCTGGTGCACTGCGCTCACAAATATCTAAGGCAAAACCTGAGGAAAGATTGCTGATTGACGTAATGAAGCAAAGTTAATTTTTCTTTGAAAACCCTCTTTATACATTTTTTAGATCAGAAATGGTAATTATCCATTCCCTTTTACTAAAGGTTGATTAAATAAGGAACTTATTAATATTTGCCACATGATTATTTGATATTCTAATCAGTATTCAATCCATTACATTTTTGAGCCCTAGTATTTGCAAAACATAATTACAGTGGTGCCAAATGCTGTGCAAAGATGAATAAGATATACCCCCTCTCATCTTTATTGCCCTCAAAATGTAATTAGACTTCTTCAACAGTATTCTGGATGTTTAGGGGAAAACAAGAATGCTGCAGCAGTAGTTAGATATAAATTTCACTAAAGCAGTGGTTCTTAAAATGTGATCCTGGAACCAGCAGCATCAGCAGCACCTGGGAACTTGACAGAAAAGCAAATTTTCACACCTCTCTCTCAGACCTAGGGAATCCCAAATTGTGGGAGTGGGGCCAACCATCTGTGTTTTAACAAGCCCTCCAGATGATTATGAGGCACACTAAAGTTTGAGAACCACCTCGGAGCATGACACACCACCCACTCAATTAGGCAACTCATTTATTAAGGATGACATGCTATATGTTTTGTGATGGGTATAAAGTGAAGGTTGTACAACAGTGGAATCAAAACAAAGATTAACAGGACGTATAGTCCTCAAGTCCTCAAGCACTTTGTAATTTATCTGAGTTAAGACCTTTGCTGTTTCCAGTACCTCAAATTTCCCCACCACAACAGATTCCCCATGGAACCTCCAACCTTCCTTCGAAGTCTTTCTCAAATGCTACCTTTTGGAAATCTTTCTTATCTGCTTAAAATTATTGCTCTCCCTAATCTCTTAGTATATTTCTTACAGGTGCATTGCAGGTGCTCATTAACTATTTACTAAATTAAATGATACCCAATAGTCCTATAGGCAAAGCAAAAACAAGTGTTACAAGAATTCAGAGAAAGAAAGGAATTTCTCACAATATATTTATTTGAGTTGGATTGCATTTATATCTTAATAATCAGACTGTATAGCACTATTATAGACTTTGTGGGATTTATGTTAATTATAATACAACTAGCATGTGTAAAGCACTTTCACATGTTATTTTATTTAGTTTTGATGGCAGTACTCTTTAGGTAGATTTTTTTATAATGTCCACTTTTCTTTTTTCATGAGGAAGACTGGCTCTGAGCTAACCTCCATTGCCAGTCCTCCTCTTTTGCTGAGGAAGATTAGCTCTGAGCTAACATCTGTGCCCATCTTCCTCTATTTTGTGTGTGAGATGCCACCACAGCATGGCTTGATGAGTGGTGCCTAGGTCCACGCCTGGGATCCGAACCTGTGAACCCCGGGCCGCTGAAGCAGAGCGTGCGAACTTAACCACTACGCCACCAGGCTGGCCCAGTATAGTGTCCATTTCTTACACAAAGAAACTGATATTCAGAGATATTAAATAAGTTGCTCAAGATAGTGACTTTGTGACCTATACATTGAGGATTAAATTCAAGTCTTCTAAATTCTAGATTTAGTAATCTTTCCAATAAAGCATAGCGGAGATGGGCTTCCCATCATGAAACTCAAGAGAAGTTAATCTAAACTTGTTAATGACTCCTTCTAATAGTGGGACTTTCCTGAATTTAATTTTGAAAGTTTGATCATGGATTTACCAACATAGTATCTTTCTTCTGAATATAATCATAACATTTTCTCCCCAAGATCCACACATTGTGAGGAAAGAGAGCCTAAGAACATTTTGCCCAACGGGTTCCTCAGGAACTAAAGGTTTTCCGTGAAAGCAATCTTAAAGAGATATCACACTCCAATGCCTTGGTTACGTGGATTAGAGAAAAGAAGTCCAGAAAAGGAAAGTAAATTCCTCAAAGTGTTAGCTCTGTGTGTCTATGTGTGCGTGTACATGCATATATAAATATAGAGAGAGACCAAACTAATACAGTTCTGGGGACACCTAACTTGGCCAGCCTCAAAACCTACAATTCCCTATCCTAATTTACTACACTGAGCTGTTGCTTAACAGTCTAAATGTTGTTGGCTTCCAGTTATCACATCTTCAAAAAAGCTGTTCCAGACTTAGAAGCTTCTGGAAACCTGAAATAGTAGTTAAGTCTTCCATGAACAGATATGGACCCCTGTCTGGACAAGGCATCTTCATCACACTTACCTCTCCTACCACTGATATACTGGACCATGTAGCTAGTAGCTAAAGATAATCGGCTCCTTGCCTCTGAATCCTCATAACTAACTTATTAGACTTAGAGATTTTCACAAAATTTATTGCTAGATATCATCTTAGTCCTTAAGGAAAATATATCCAAGTCGTTGTTCATGGTACTTGAATTTGCAAATGAGCATTCTCTATTGATAAAGTCTGTAATCTAAGAAATCCAGCCACCGGAGAACAGATGAGATACCATATAAGGACTTTTTAATTCAGTGATTCAACCATTATCCTTGGGTATGCAAGACTGAGTGATGGATACTCACTACCACCATTGACTCATATATGGTGTGCTGGGACCATTGTTTACAATGGTCTAAGACAGCCCAGTCTAAGATAGCCACCCTCTAGTCCGCAGAGAATACTCAATATATTTAGAGATCAAAAAACAAAGGAACTATTACCACTATCAGCATTATTTCAATTTTGGAATCACTCTAATAAACTGCATGTATATCCTCACCGAAGTTCAAGCTCTTCAAGGCATCCTAGCCATGCCTTCTTTTATATACTCTGTCATGAAAACTAGTAGTATTTAAATGCTAATTCCTGAGGGAGAACTGTATGTTCTAACATGGAAAAAAATCTCAAAACATTTTGATGAATGAAAAACTCAAGTTCCAGAGTGGTATGTTTACTATTATACCATTTATATTTAAATAAATAAATAAACACAGTATATTACTAGCAGTGGTTACTTTTTGGGCGTGAGATAGGGGATAAGAAACGGGAGTAATGGCCTAAAGAGACTTTTCCCTTATCTGTTATGTTTTAATATTTTTTTAAAGGAGAATTATTAGTCTTAAATTATTTAACTAAAATTTACAATACACCATTCCAATTAGCATCCATCTCTATTTTATTGCCTAAGTTTTCAGCTTTGTCCCAGGTGTTTCTTCTCCCAGTTCCCATCAATAATGGAAGAAGATAGGATGGCAGCCATTAACATTAATGAGATGAATAAGGGAGAGATTGCTTGAGTCTACTGAGAGATGTAGGCAGAACCTTGGGAAATGCAAAATAAAGGAAGAGTGGAGAAGAATAGCCATTCAAAAGAGTCTTCTAAAAGACTGTAAAAGCAGAATAATAATATCCTATTATCTATGACACTGTGTCATAGAAAGGACAGGAGGGCAAATATTCAAGATTAAGGCATGGTCAGCAGTGTGGAATGCTACATAAACGTTGAAAAAGTTGAGAATTACAGGGAGGGCTTTGAATTTGATTGTTGCAAAAATATCGATTAACTTTAAAGAGCAGTTTGCTCTTGCCTGTTTTTCTATCCAAACATGAAAAAGCAGTTCATGAATGGTGATGTAGTGAATAATTTTGGCATTACTTTTAAGTTTTTAAGCCTTGAGAAGAACATGTTCATGATAAATAAACTATAAAGACTTAGTTATGTGACCAGAGTTTGGTAGGTGATGTATGGAGGAGATATCCTAGCTACTATAACCCATTCAGACTCCCTAGGAGCAAACTCCCATGTTAGGTGAGTTTTACCAATAATGAACTGACATCTACAACAGGTCCAGAATAATAATTTCTACCCCAATCCAGGCAATAAACTCGAGGAGCAATGACACCCACAACTCAACTGCAGGCGAACAAAGGATCGTAGTCAGCTAAAAGAGTTAATGGGTTACAGGGGTGGACTGGAATCAGGAGAATATTTATGAGGTCATCGTCTAAACAGAAGATAAAGAGGTAAATGGGTTGATCAAAAGTCTCTGAAGACTCCTGAATCCCTGTAAAATAGGAGAATCCAGGTCATTAGACAACCCTCCTCTCTAGCAAAGCACAAAAAGACCCTCTTCCT